CATCCTCCAATCCTCTCTCTGTTGCTAGGGCTATAATAAGTATCCCACTATTAGCCCGGCTCCTTGCTGCACTGCTCAGACACCTATTGCATCCTGTAAGAAAAAAAAAGAACGCTCAAAGCACACAGGAGGCATTAGGATTCCGCACCAACCTATCTATCCAGCCTGTGTTTTAATGCACTGCTACACTATCAGGGACATAGGTTTCATTACTGGTGTCAAATGTTGATCACTTTATACATCATAAAACAAATGGTTGCCTACTGATAGACATGTGATGGAATCTCAAATACATTGAGCATGCTTAATGACACATCATGTCAAATTAGAGCAAACTAAACACATAGAGTATAAATACGACTCTTTGCATAAAACAGACCACACGGAATGTTACGTTCATTTTAATTGGTTGAATTACATCCCTGGAGAAGATAACGCTTTAAAGGTTACATCTACAGGATGCAGACAACAGAAAATGGTTCAAGCATGCTTCACTTCCACTTGCTCTGCCGATCACTTTCATCACATGCAGCACTCTTTCCCTGAGGGGAAGCCTGGATGACAGCGAGATCATAGAGCTCATACATTATGTCACACAAAGGCGAATGCCTTAAATCACTACACCAAATTTCTTGTCAGCATTTGAGACAGCCACTATGACGCCACTATCATCAGTGTTTAATAAAAAAATGTCTTGATATGAAAGAATCCTTGATGGTTCAAAATAAAATGAGGAAGCCATGTGTATAGATGAAACTGGTAGGTTATTTTCGTCCTCCCTGATTTACATGAGCTCTTTCAAGCTTCTAGAAAGGTAATGGTGTACACGTCCTTCTCTTTTTGGCTCAGGTGGAGGATGATGGATTAAATGAAGGAAAAATGGGGAGTGGGCTTAAAATTGGCTAGATTTAAAGAAATAGCTAGACCTTTTGGGAAACGATTAGTTATACTAAGATGATACAATCGATAGACTACCACTCTATGCAGAGATGAATAAGTTCAATATTCCTGAAAACTCCAAGCTATTCCTTAAGGCTTCCCAAATAAATATTGGACTGACAAAAGGCAATGATTCAGCTTTGCCATCTGTTTGATGAGGAGTCGAAACTATCAGTCCCAAAGAAGATTGGTAGCTTAAAATCCAGAATGCAGATACCTAACTTTCCAACTTGCATAATTGCCTCGGGTGAGACAGGCTTTTTTTCTTGATTATTTTAGACTTTATTAAATGGCAAAACCATGTTTTTATTCATGCTAACAATTTGGAGCTAGGGTTGGCAATGTTAGAAGTAACCATAGTCATGACTATTAAACCTTATTTTTTCCTGTTCCAGACATTTTTGGTTTTGAGTGACATATGTTAGTAATTCTGGAACCCTGAGAGCAGGACAGACTGAAAAGAGTCAAGGGAAGCTTATAAAAGTTAACAGCATTTAATTACAAAAAAAGATGCGGTGATGTACAATGAAATTGCAAGCTGGAGGCGCTCTCCCCATGTGCTCAGGCGAGGTCAGGAAAAAGAGATCGATTCATGGCTTGCTCTTCCTGTTGTCATCTGTGGTCTTCTCCTATTGGCCGGCGTCGACGGGGGCGGGTCCAATGCAATTCCTGCCTTTTTCTGTTGCTAAATTACATCATTCTGATGTCTGTGGTTATTTAAACATTCCCTGATTATTTCAGCGTAAATAAATGAGTGTTAATCCCAGTGTGTTTAGTGTACAACATCACATGTCATTTCACCTTCAATTCACGGTTTCAGACGTTATTTCTCTAGGGCTCTGCCGGAAGCTAATGCTAACCGGAAATAAAGAATTTTCAGAATAAAAGTGTTAAATTAATAGTTAGTGTGAACTTCCGTTTTTTTCAGAATAAAACTGCTTTAAATTAAAACCCTGTATTTAATTTAAATTACGTCATATCAACATTGATTTTAATTTCTTACACATACCATAAAAAATTATTGGATGCATTTAGCTAATGCTAATCATCATACTGTTAGCATGCCAACACCCTTAACTAAGATACTGATAACATTATACCCGCTAAAGATCAGCATGTTAACATTGTCACTGTAAGCATGTAGCATGCTTACGTTAGCATTAAGCTCAAAGCACCACCGCTAGCAGCTGCTAGCAAGGCTGTAAACTACAAGTCTTGTTCCAATCCAATACAGGCCTTAACAAAACATATTTTACTTCCTAAATACAGATTACCTGTTTTTTAAAGTGCTTGTTTGCTTTTCTTCAATAGGCAGAGAGGTCAGTCATTTCTGTCAAGAGGTCATTACAAGGTCTGCGCTTTGTTGTTGTGTATTGATTTCCTTTGCCTCCATGCTGAATGCAGCTTTTCTTGCTATCTACAAATTCCTACACTGAAAGGCATTTAACCTCCTGTGGCTTAGGCGTCTCACTGCCGTTGTTCAGCCATTAATCATCGAGCAAACCGCATGGCTGTCATGGGTAGTTTCTGGGCTGAAGTGGCAGCTCTGAGGACTGCATCCACAACAAACAGGAACATGACGTTTGACTCACAAATCATAAATATATTTTGTCTAATTTCAGAACAAGATGAACAAAAATGGATGGCTTCGTTAGTTTGGAGTCATGGAGGTGACACATGACAGCTTGTGACCATGCAATAGAAACATTATATTGGTCCAACAATTAATTAAATCACTAGGCCTATTCTTCAGCACTGAGAACACGAGGAGATTATACTTTTCTGAGTCACACAGATAGCCTACTGATAAAACAGACAGGCACGGTGCATTTAAAAAAGTTTATGATCTGCCTCAACGTGATCTGCACCTCAAAGATGCAAAGAAGAAGATCGTTGTACAGCTACAGAAATACCAACCCATTAGAAGGGGGAAGGAGAGAGAAGAGAGAGATGGAGGAGGAAGAGGGGACCGATGTAGAAGCAGAGAACAGAGACAGATCTATAAATAGGCCTCCCTGCAGCCTGTGTGTAGACAGTGAGTAGACCAGAGACATCAATGTGACAGCAACTGCACTAAAGAGACTATCCGCCTGTGCGTTGATGGTGAGAGTTGATATCTTCACTTAAGGGAGGCTGATCTATAAGTTGTATCTCCAGCTGAGCAAACACACAACATGAAATACTACAAAAACACAAATAATCAGGTCCAATATCTGCTTTGTTTTTGAAAAGTTCATTACACTGTGTTATATTATTTTTTTTGTAAGTTTTGATGGGACAAAGAGCACTGCTGCTGACTCTTCAGGCACAAAGACAGCTGTTATGCATGACTGCTGCAAAATGAATTATTCAAGCCAACATTTAGACTTTGTATTATTTATCAAAAGTGCTTTAGCTGGAGGTTTTAGAGACTATTTTAAGGGGGCACATGTCCCAAAATATTGCAAGATACATTGTATCTGATAGGCAGTGAAAAAATGTCATCACATGATTTCTGAGAGAGCTTTACCCCCCATCCCCCAAATAAAAGCACTCCATCTGGCTGCAGCATATAACCACACTGCTGTCACTTAGATGGTTTGCCAAATGTGATGATCAAATCATCTAATAATACTGGAGGGGATTATTCATAACTACAGAGGCTTGTTTGATGAACAGAAGCTTGTTGAAAGGTGAGTCTAAATTTAAGTCCTCCCATCCCCACCCCTGTCTCACAGTTACGTCATTCTGCATGTTCTTCTTTCAAGGCCTCCCATTGCAGGAGAATCACAGTCACACCATGTTCTGTGAAACACAATCATCATTACCATCAATATAACAAAGGTATGCAGAACATTATTTATTAAGACTCTCATTTGATGTTTTGATTGAATATCTTAGAAATATGAGGATTATTTACTTACGTTTTATCAATTTCTTCTGAAATGCAGATTCAGATCATTACTTTTCTCCAACAATACTTCTTTACAATATATAACATAATATCCTGCACATGTATAGCAATACTTTCCACTGTGTAAAGTATATAAGTATACATAAAAGTGTGGAAATTATTGTATCATAGGATAAAGATAGTTCTGTGACCTTAAAGTATATGCTGTATGTGTGAAACACATCTCACCCTGTCATGAAGTTCCTTTAAGAAAGTGTATTATAAGTAATTCCCCCTTTTTTCCTGTACTTTCTTAAAGTCTGTGAAGTTTGACATACCGAGAAAACAACTTTTCTCCTAAAGAACAAACATTCCAAAAAGTGTGATTCTGATGTGTCCTAAAACTGCTTTTATTGTTGTGGAGATGCGTCGAGCTTATTAACAACAATTGAGTATTTAATGGTCCTGTGTTTTTTCTTGGAGCGCATCTTAAGCATTCAAAGCCTCCCTCACAGTCGTACAGCTGGAGGATCCTCTCCAGTCAATCTCAGAGGAGGTGACCTATCAGTGTGACCTCCTCTGACAGACACTGACCAGGGGGCGTCTGCAGCGAGGAGGCCACACACAGTGAAACAGTTAACGCCTGACGTCAGGCTAATTTTAGCTGCATCTGTAGACAGGGATTTACATTTTTCTGGCTGACATGTTTTTCTTTTGTTCATATTCTTGAAAGTGTGAAAAAAATGACATCAGTTGTCTGGCAGGCTGTGGTGTGAAGTCTAAATCCTCTTCACTATAGACAGGATCACAATGGGATACATTCAACTGTTAATGACTAAATAATGACACATCTGCTGATAGTGCAGGTTTGATAAAAGACATGCATTCGTTTGCAACACATAATTATTATATTATTTATTATATAATAATGATTATTATTACATGTGGCAGTTTTGAATGTCTTGCCTCTGTGTGTTCTTTTACCTTACCGGGATCTAGACAGTCATGCTTTGCTTCACAATCAGCTCCTCAGGTGCCAACGCGTTGACAAATGATACCTTCCAGTGTTTGCAGGTCTGGCTGATGTGTGAGTTGGTGACTCATTATGAATACTAGCTCAAGGGACTCCCAACAGTGCAAGGAGAATGATGAAAAGCCTTCCACTCTGCAGCCTGGAGGGGACGTACAGCTCAGTTGACAGCGGCGGGCCAGTAGGGTTGGCCGAGGTGAGTAACAGGCAGTGAGCAAAGGAGAGAGCAGGGTGGGGTGATTCTGAAGGCATGATGCGTGGCGTGGTGACAGGAATACAGGGTTAACAGTGGGAGCCAAGGGTCAGTGTTAACTAATATCTGATGCTGAACTACACCCTGATGACAGTGTGTGTGCCGAACAAGAGGCTGGATCAAAGTTTCCCCTACCCATCCATGAAAATAATCCCACCACAGTTACAGCATAGGAGTATACCAGAATATAAAAGCCTTATTTTGTATTTAAAAGGACATGACATATGTTGTATAGAATAGAATATGACGTTTCTTTACCACTCAGGCGGTGAGCTCAGGAAAAAGAGCAGTCATACAGGGAAGTTACTACTTTGTATGAGAGCAGTATTGTGCTGTTGCATGGCAACAGTTTCCACAGAAATCTTTGCTCAGAAACACTCCTCGTTGGTCTTCACATAACTGCAACGAGAGAAAAATGGGCTGACTGCAGGAATACAAATGATCTAATGAAGCAATTTGACTTGTACAAGCTAAAGAGTTATATATTAGATTTCCAGAGCAGAAAATGCAACATGATTTTGTTTACTTTAAAGGTGGGGTAGGTAATTCACTTCAGAAACACTTTTTGTTATATTCCACTTTTTGTTATATTCCATGGAATGCTCTTAACATCCCGATAGCAATGAATAAATATATAATGCTTTGACGATAAATCAGGCCCGGTTATACGGGGGTGCATAAGGGTGCATTGCACCCTCAGTTGAGTCGTTATGCACCGTCATTTGAAAAATGAAAAGTGAACAAAAAATAATATGAAAAGTGAAAAATATTACATTATAATAATAATAATAATAATAATAATAGTAGTAATAATAATAAGAAGAATAAAAATTTAGTTGAAATAAAATAAATTGTAATTGTGGTTAAATAACATTGTCTGCTGCATTTATTTGGTCAATTTAAACGGTAAGTAACGTTATTATGTCAGGTGTGCGTGACCTGTGCCGCTGCGCGTTCGTCATCTGCAAGGTGCTTACACAGCAGTCAGTGATGGACATCAGAAAATGGTTAAAACAACCAGCCCTTATCGCCAGCAGTAACACTGCATCTACTGCAGTAAAAACAGTTCAGATCATGGGGACATTACGTTACCCGCAACCACTGTCG